TGACGCATTAACGTAGACATCTCGTTAATAACATATCATACATTTCATGCGAATCACAAATGCTTTGCGTAGGTTTAACTATGTAGAATTGAATGCTGCTTCGTGGATTTTCCTTATGGGGCATAAAAACCATGCCCCATAAGAAATTCGTGAATCATGTCGTGCAGAGAATTGTTGCAATATTGCACAGTTGGAACCATTTACATCTTTTATGCTCCAATTGTGCTGACTCGTCAGAAAATGACCTGCTGACTCACCAACCCGACCGAAAACAAATTTGATTGCTATTGAAAGTTCAAATAATTGGTTCGTCCATTTAAACAGAGCAACCTACGCATATTTGGTCTTACGCAACCCCGCATATGTGGTTGCAGCCGAAATTTTCTTTTCACTTTGAGCACTGACTGAACCTGGTAAAATTTGGTACCCTTCATTGTTACGAAGAAATCATTAAGAATGCATCTTAGCTTTAATCGTCCTCAAAATCCAGTAACTGATTTCTAGATCATTAAGAGTTTACATAAGCTTGACTTGAATTTGACAACAAAAATCACCAAAGTGCAAAAGATTTTTTGATTTTTTGAAAGATCTAATTTAGAAATTTGTCAGAATTCAAAGCTATAAAACTTTTTTATAATCGTGATTAACTGTTTGATGACTGTGTCGAAGCCACAAATATTTCGCGGCAGCGTCATTAAAGTAACTTAAAACTGAATTATATCCTACGCGTTGGACGTTGCAGTTCAGTTATGTACTCGTTACTGAAACCAACTCTTCAGAAACTTGTGACATTTTCAAGCTTTTGTTTTGATAAATAAGTAGCGACGGAAAATTTATTGTAATCCATTTTTTTACGCTCGAGATTAGGAGCGCAGTTAAAGCGGTTGAGTGATTGATTTAGCTGAAGTGATTAATTTATTATTGCGATCAGCCTCCAGTACGGTCTTTATTAATTTTTTATTCTGTCTTTGGGCAAAATCAATGGAATTGGAAGTCGTTTCGAGCACCGATGTTACATTGGCATATATTCTAACAGCAGCTTTCGAACAGTTCCATTTGAAAGTGAGGCAATAGGTGATTTGTTTGGTAGATTGATAGTATCTAGAATTGTATACACTAGTGCGCTGAATTTTGTTTACTCCTGAAATCATAGTGTTTTGCACTCTGCTTATCACATTCTGACCCTATAGAGAGTTCTGTGAAGGAGCCAAAAAGACTAGTAACTTATTTGCTTTGATGTTTGTCGCTACTAACACTAAACCTCCAATATTGAACTCGTGGGGGCGCTAGAGTCGCAAGCGCATTGTTTGCAAGCAGCACACCTACACAGCTGCCCTTTCGGAGAGCGTTCGAACAGATGCACCTGAGAGCAGCCAATATAAAACGCATTCAGCCGAGTGACTTCGCTGCACTTCGTCGTCGACCAAAAATCCCCCCTCTGCTAAGAGAGCGAGCTCATAGGGGCGGACCATCCTCCTTCGCCCCGTGCAGTATTCGTCTTTGTATGATGCGAGCCCGTCGTGCCCTATTAGGCGATGTGCTGCACGGGTTTTTGCTCACTGTCGAGTGTGTATGCCCGCACCCCGCCCACGCTGCAGCGCCTCAGGGTGCTCTCTCTTCGTCATTCAAGCCCCTTCATCAGTCATTCTTCATGGAGGGAGGCGGCAGAGGGCGAAGATGTCTGGATAAGTGTGAATGCTAGAGTCTGTTTTGGCCAAACGCAGGTCATAATTTATGCTGCAGAGTCAATATCTCAAGGTTTATGATGTTTATTCCTGTGGTTGTCGCCAAATATAGACATAAAGTAGTGCATATTGTTTTATTTTGTTTCAAATGTGTCGATAATCGCTATGGAATTATGAGATAATCAGATATATGTACTACAGTTTGTTACTCTAAAACATGAATTGGAAAATCAGAAAACTATGAAATAGTAAAAAAAAAACAGCCTTGATATTACTTTGGCCAAATATCCGTTACTTATGAGGTTGCTCTATAAGTTTTATATGAATTTTTTTTTCAAGCATCTATCTCAACGAATCCGTCGGCATGGACAAATTAGAGAAAACCATGCGCTTTTCAATAATGCTCAAAGCAAAGCACGTTATTAGACTGCGCCGACATCTGGATAGAAAAACAAAATCATATTTTTGGACTTTTTTTTTTCAAAAAATGTGGGGTGGTAAAAAATGTAGTCCTAGTTTTGATTCAATTTCACAAACAACTTGCTTCATAACAAAAAATTTATGCTAATCTAATGTTTTTACAAAAATGATGATTTTTATTTTTGTTGATTTTGTTTTAGATGGATTTTTTGATATAATAACTAAAATACTCTTATCATCATTTTTGCACCTTAGTATGTCCTAAGTTTTTTCATGATGATTTATATTCGTTTCATTCTTCTATTATGTATAATAAAATATCTATCCTATAGTATATGACGAACTTACATAGTATGAATCATAAAGCAACTATAATTTTCAAGTAAAGTGGTGTGAAACGAATTTTCCCATTTTTTTGGCGCACACTTCCGGCCTTTTCTGACAGAACGCTTTCGTTTCCTTTGCAGCTACTACTCATTGCCTATTCTGCTGTCAAACTTTCATTCACTTGCACTCCGAAATCGAATTTTTCTCCATAATTGCTCTAACGCTGCCATTTTTGCACTTAACTTGCTAAGATACATAGCTCTTTTGAATTATTTCTTGAATTTTAGAATTTGCGGTGACTTTATTACTAATATAGCTCCTTTTCTGCGCACTCGCTTGACTATAACATATTCGAGCACGCCACTAAGCCAGGTGCGTCATATTTTTCATGACAAACAAGGATATTACTAAGCAATTCGAGATTCTTCTAGTTAAAGCCGATTGAATGAAAAACAAATTAGCAAACAAGAAAAAGAAATGCATTTGCGTCATGTAATTTTAGTCGCTTCTTTTTTTGAAAAATGGCGCTGAATTTCAACACCCTCACCTAATCTATACCTCCCACACCCAGACACTCAATTTACCAACAGACGTATCAAATTCGTCAATAAAGTTGTTGCCGGCAGAACAAATACCATTTGATTTATAGTTCTGTACCTCAGCATATAACGCGATCCCATGAGTATGTCGATTGCTCTTTATGATGCCTCATAATGAACAGCATTTTCTGCGAAGACCCTGAGGACTTTTGTCGTCACTGTCTACGTGGAATGATAGGAACATACGTCTAAGGCCCCGGACAGACTTCACGCGATTTGATCGTCGCGACTGAATCGCGACGAGACAACTGTTAAAACATCATTCCATGCCGATCAACTTGCATTTCTGTTGTGATACTTTTCCAGCCCGAAATTTTTGAATGTGAAATGAAAATGAATGGAAATGTCGGCGATTGAGTCGCGACGATCAAATCGCGTGAAGTCTGTGGGGCCTAAGAGAAATGCAAACATTGTTTGGCAGCAGCATTTAAACTTTGGTCCATTACTTTTAAGATCAACTCACTTTCCATTACACCAAAAATCCAACTGTTTCGTTTCTCGCTGTTATATCAGGAAGGAAAAAGCTCATGGCTTCTGTCTATAAAATCAGAGAAATTTAGGACCACTTTGATTTAACATTCCTATAACGTTCCTTTTGAGATGATTTCAACCAGGAGACGAGGCGTTCGAGATTCGCGATTTCTTAGGCTGTTACGAATTTGTAATTCGATGGTTTAAGGCATTTGTAAAATTTGCAGAGAGAATGCTTGAGCTACCTGTTTAAGATTATTTTTGCTGAATTCGAACATGTTGCTGGAAAACTAGCCGAAATATTCAAGAAATTTTTCTAGCTTTTTCGCCTACATTTTCGAGAATCAAATCAAATATTGGCATTGCATAATCTACTTGGCAATCTATATCTTTGTTGAAATTTGCAACACTTTTCACACACTTAGACATCAAAATTCCACACTTGATGTTCATCTGGCAGTATGGCAGGCTAGATTTGCCTCGGTGCTCCGCAGTGAAGAAAGAGATTTGTCGTACACAAATTGTACATTAAACAAATTTCTGCTTTCCGTTTGTTCCAGTACGTTTTGTTCATCTTAAGACACTAACTGCAAGATGCCCATCTCTCCATCAATTAAATATGTTTTGTTATGGAAAAAACTCCGTCTTTGTACAACGACATCCATTTAAGGTTCTCGGAGAGTTATACTCTCTTTATGCTTCTTCATAATTGAGTTTTGGAATTCAAAGCTGGTACATAGTCATGCACATACTGCCCTTACCTGATCTCTCTTAAATTGTAAGAAGCACACTTAGGAATGAAACAAACCTTATAACTTGAATCGTTTGGACAAATACCCTTCATAGTATGAATCTTGCCTAGCAATGTGTCCCACGGCTTGATTCAGACCCTGTAATTTTCTTAAAATTCAAAACTTCTTCTCAGTCCAAATGTTTTATAGCGATAGATGGACTTTCATATGTATGTGTTTGCACTTGTACGAAAGGGCAAAGTTGGCAGTTAGCTAATAACTCTCAAAAAACACATCAATTAATTATGTTGCTCATCAAGTTTGTATAATTTATGTAAAAAACAGTTTCCATGACGTTAGAGTTTGCATGAATTTGAAGATATCTTGCACGCTATGTACCTTTTTGAACCCTCTGGTTGGGATCCAACTTTTCTATTTGTTGAAATTGCTGAAAAAAGCAAAGCCGTGTTGCTTCCTTAGGAGGGAACTTTCCAGTCAATTTCATGACTCTCTGCGCTACCTTCTTTTCTTGCTCTTCCCTATTCAAGCTCCTCTTTCACTAGAATTTCTTCAGATCCTCCATGAAAGCTCTAATTTCCTTATTGATGTTTACAAGCTAGACATTATTCATTCACCCCTACGCAAGCATTTCACCCTCTTACCTCCGGCTCAGGCTTCACTCCACCCACTCCCACCCCAGCTTTTTCCGTCTCCCGTTCTCGTCTCAGCCTTGCGAGAGCTGGTTTTCACTGCTTCGCTCCTTTCAGAGCCGCATACGCATCGTCGAAAGAATCGCAGTGGGCTGCACTCAAAATGATAATGGCCGAGCGAGCAGCCGACTGTCTGGCTAAGCTGGGACTTGACGGCTCCATGCACAATGGCAGTCTCTCCGCTGAACCAAATCATCTTCAGCCATCTTTCGGACATCACCGCAGGTATTTTTTCGAAACTCTTTTTTTCAACAAAAAATGCAGCTATAATCCTAATTACAACAACTACGACCATACGCGCGGGATTCGATGCATTTCCGGGATTCGCGGGATTTGCAAAATGTCACCGTAACTTTTCAATGATAAGATAAATTTTAAAATGCAGTATCTAAACGAAGAGTTCCGCCATTCCAAATGGTGTTTCCTCTGTGATAGTTGGAATTTTTAATTGTTCGTTCAAAATTAATGTTTGCCCACAGTGAGTGTAACAAACATTTGTGTTGTTAAATGCGATTAAATTTGATATAATCAACTATGAATTTTTCATACTCGTCAAAATCATTTTGCAATGTCCTTAAGTGGCTCGCAAATATCCAATTTATAACAATTATAAAATACCTAATTTCTAACCTTTTTGGCAAACGTAGAAGACAGCAAATAATAATAACAAGAACTAATACTAGAACTAATTGCGTAGCAATGCCTCCATTCCCATAACTGCTTTCGCTAGGGAAAATCTCCCATTTTTCTTGCATCCAGCTTACACATTTTCGAAGACATATATTTCAAGCATAGAGAACAGTCTCTCTTTTTTTCTCAGAGGTTCAGATCATTAGTCATCGCTGCCAAACTGGAGCAGTGATGGATGTTTCAAACCGCATCTCTTTCAAAACTCTTTCTAGGAACGAAGAACTCTCCAAACTTATAAATCATGAATATAGGTTTCAGTGAGCTTACAATACATCTCCATCAATAAGCCTAGTACCAGAGATCGAACATCATTCGAATTTATCCGCAAATCATTGTTTACAGATGTCGAAGTTTGCGAGAACGAACTGGCGTCGATCATCGTCTCGAGCGGTTGCCAAGTGGACCTATTCATAAGACTCCACTATATACAGTGATGACGGGAGTCAATACTAATAAGAGGTATTGATACACATCTTGACGCAAATTTAGTTCTATTTGGGGCTTGAGAGGCTGAAGTGGAAACGGAAGTTTTTTGTAAAAATACTAACATTGCCCTGGGAAAATTTCAGCAATCGTGTTAGTTCGATTTGCATATGAAAAGTGAGATCTGAGTATGAGATTTTCGAAAGTATCTGAGGCAATTTTTTGAAAATCAACAATAAAGGAAGGGGAAAGTGAATTTCTGGAAGCTGAGAAGAAATGGAGGTTTATTGCCTTCACAAAATTGCCTTTATACTTAACTCATGTTCAGAAGTAATATAATGCCTACTCATAGGCTTGTGTCTCTTCCTTATAAATGCCAAAATGAGCCTTTATTGAAGTTTCTAGAATTTCTAGGAAGGCGAAGAAAAGTTCTTATGTTACATGCTAATAGTATAAGCTCAAGGAATAATACTTACCCATGCAAACCTGAATTTTTGTAACCAAGAGAGTTCATCGGGTTCATGAAATTTCAATAACTTTTTCGCACTTCGTCACTTTATTTTGCTCTGCTGCAGAGAAAATGAAAGTATTAGTTTACGCATATTAAGAAATTTGGGTGTTTTTGGTCCAAAAACTTGGTATTTAGCATCGACCTGCTTTTGTAATGAAATTTGCAACATAGAAAATTTGTCAAACCTCAGCATTTGAGTTTTTGTTTTTATGATGCTTGAAGATTGTGATATCATTATGTTCTGAAGCCAAATTATGAGATTCCTTATCCCATTTATTTTGTGAAAATCGCAAATAAATATCAGTTATTTATTTTTCAGTCGCCCGGTGAAGATTGCCGATTTTGCTGAACACGTGCGAATGATGGCTGCTGACTCAGATTTTCGCTTTTCGGAAGAATACGAAGTAGAGATCAAACTTTGCTCTAGAAGTAATCAGTAAACACCAGTTTTGCCCAAATAAGTAATTTTGCAGATTCTACGAAACGTCGGATGTGGGCAGTCTTATAACGCAGCCGAACTTCCTGCAAACAAAGCCAAGAATAGGTATGTGCGTACGTCATTGGCGCAAATTGGCGACGAACGGAAGTAAGAGGGTTAGGCTTGCGGCTTTAGAAAACTGCGTCTTACAAAAACTCATCGGGGAACTTTGAATAATAGAAGGTGTGTGGGCTATTGAAGCAATCCACAATTCAGTTTCCCCCGGAGAGCTTTTGAGGGGGTGTAAAATAGCGCAGAACTTTTAAGTATTCTATCGCTTCTTCTTTTTTCATTTTTCTTTTGTCAGATTCACCAACATCTTACCGTATGACCATTCCCGTGTGAGATTGACTCAGGTTTGTGATCAGGAAGGAGCTGACTACGTCAACGCTAATTACATGCCGGTGAGTAGACTTCCTATTTATTGCTTGGCGTTTCTATTTTTGGACATTCTCATAAGAAAGCAGAGTACTTCCTGAGAGACGTCAGTAAGGGACGTTATGCACTTTTGACAATACACACTGCTTTATAGAAATGGGGAATTAGCTAACATAGCCTTTTGAGTCTGAGCTTACATAAACTTATGGGTTAGCAAATTATTTGTGGCATACGTGCAAATTTTTGAAAAGGGTAGTTCATTCCGAATTTCTTTTCTTTCATCTCTAATGTAAATGAATGCGGCGATTAGCTCAGTTTAATGCGTCAAAACTCTCTGGGATTCTCACGCCGGAAACTAGAGAAGTTCCAAAAAATCTATCCACAGTTAAGAAAGAATTACTGCAAACCGCCAGTTTATTTTAGACAGGTTTTTTCTTTCTTATGTATGCTTTGCAGCAGATTTAAACAACAACCTTTCACTTTGTAAAACGTTACATTTTTTTTGTTTTCTTTCGTTTATCTGCTAAGCTGTTGCCTGAATTACTCAATTTTCTGCGAAGAGTATGTGCAAAAACCTAGCTTTTTCGTCCAGTTGGGGTGCTACCGAATAATCACAGTGTGTTATTTAAGGGGTTCTCTTCCCGACGAGAATTCATCGCTGCCCAAGGTCCTCTTCCCACAACTAGAGATGCATTCTGGCAGGTGAGCCGTAACCGAAATCACATTCCCACATTTACATAGTACAAGCAAGAACATTATCATACAGATGGCTTGGGAACAAGGTTGTCCGGCTATCATCGCCTTGACGAAATGTGTAGAAAAAGGACGAGATAAATGTCATCAGTATTGGCCGGATAATGAACATTCGAGCGTGGTCTACGCTGATATTGAAGTGGGTCATTTTTGAGATTTGGTCAAAATTTTTGTAAATTACAATTGTGCAGGTGACGGTGTTGAGCGAATCTTCTTTTGATGATTTTACGGTGAGAGAACTTCGTATGAAGAAACTTCACGAAGCAACTCCACCAAGAATCATTCGCCACTTCCATTACATGGCTTGGCCAGACTTCGGGGTTCCGGAGCATCCAGAAGGCATCATTCGGTTAGTGAACCTTTTCCTGCCACATTTTTAGAATTTAAGAGGCACGAGTCCTTCTGCCCGCGAGCCACAGTTTTCCTGATGATCGAAATTTAGATTTTCTTCTTCTGTGCTAGATGCAAATCAAAAACTTACTTTTTCGAGTTTATGTGATTTGACAGCCATGCCAATGCAATTTTCTCTTAAATTCGATGCGCTCGAAATCAAATTTGAAATCAAGCTACAATTCCCATCTGTGGAATTCTTTCCATCACGGATTTTGCGAAACTTCGCGACTACGGATAAAATATCTGGGAAAAAGACATGTATCTCTATCCGAACTCTTCTTCTTCAGGTTTGTTATGAAGTATCGTTCGAGAATACCTCATTCACCACAGAACCGGCCTACGATAGTGCATTGCAGGTGAGTCTAGTCCAGCACTATTTTGCAAATTCGCCCACGGGTTTCCTTTGTTTGCTCAAGGAAATTTAATCCCTGCTAATAAAAATTGCAAGTATATCGTTAACCACACAAATTCTTCTTTTCAGTGCCGGCGTGGGAAGATCGGGTACATTCATTGCAATTGATCGTCTTTTGCAAACGATACAAATCGATCGACCAATCGATGTTTTCGGAATTGTGCATGAGATGAGATTAGAACGATGTCATATGGTGCAAAACGAGGTTTGTCGTTTCTGGAAACTTCTAACTGTTACTTGTTGTGGATGAGCCGCTAAGCCACCTATGGAATTTGATTGCTAGAAGTCACCGAATACACGCTATTCTCGTATGCATCTGTGCATAGACTAAATGGAAATCATACATTATGATTCATGTAAAGAGGAAGAAGCGGTCAAATTTTGCTAAAGTACTTATACAAAAAACCTGAGATTGTAAGAAACCTCTGAAAGTGCAGTGCTGGTACAATATTTTTGATGGAAACCCATTTCATGATGCGTTGTGTTTCCAAAGGTGACATCCGGAATGAGCGAAAAGACTGAAGCTGAATATGGTAACTTTCATCTTTTCACTTGCCGTTACCTAGAACGCTCATTTCTTTCGTAATTCCTCAAGCTAAAACGTTCAGCAATGCTTTACGATTGGCAGAAATTCCTTGAATGCTAAGCATGCCATAGATTCTTATGTCGTACTAGAACTTATTCTAACGCAAGCTACAGTGAGCTCCAACAAAAATTCAGGCGGCAGCGCGTGACGTTTATTCTTGTGCTCATACCCAAATCTGATATCCTGCGTTTTTCGTGCTTGAATACCCAAATCCGTCCTCAGGGCGAGTGAGTAGGTGAGAAACTCGTCACTATCTGATTACATATGCGCGGGACATGACGCACACGACGATGCTTGATATCAAACAAAACACCCACAGCTTTTGAAATGAGGGCAAGGGCTGAGTTATGCATACTTGGTTCTGGAATTTGCAGCCATTAGGAAGTCGTAAATTTGGTGCTGCTAGCACTGGGGAGTGAAGAAGAAGAAATTTGCTCAAGCTGAAGGTGCCGTATATGAATGTGATCAAAGTTCTATAGCACTTTAATGAGGTCAAAATGTTAGATAAGGAGAAGGCGAAATTGATGGATGGGGTTAAAATAGCGACTGGGATCATCAATGCTTGGCATTAGTTGGTGCAACCATTCAAATGAGATTTAGATAAACTTTAGATGATAGATTTGAACGTTTTGAGGGAAGAGAGGAGCAGGATTTCTTCAGTGCCATTTTAGCTGACTCTGACTTCTCTCCAAAGTTGGAAAAAAAGCTGGAAAAAAGCATGCATTTCTTTCTATTCGTATGAATTTACATGAAGCGCTATGAAATGCATTTGCGCATATTAGTATCAAATTTGATATCACTCATTTGCTATAGTTGTGGAACTGTTGTTGACTATAAGTGGCCGTCCCAGAAAGTTTTTACGTACGCGCTCTCCGCTGCAGTGGTCATGCAATCTTCGATACTGTGATTTGTCCATTTTGCTCAAGAAAACATTGAAGTACCAACTTTGGAAGATAAATGCGCCAACTCAGATAATCGCCGGGGGCAGGCGGTCCGCAAACTCGCGTTTTTCTGCAGGCGGTCAGCAGAATTTTGGGGCGTGGCCAAACCTTCAGCGGGCGGTACTTCCGCGTTCTGCCAGCGGGCAGCAATACAGAATTTTCTGCGAGCGCTCGTCAAATAATATCTTCCAGCGAGCGCTGGCCAAACTTTCAGCAAGCGCTCGGACTCTTTTTAGGTATTTTCGGGCGTACGTCGAGCACAGGTAAGACTCTGTGTGGTAGAGGTGTCACCGTTGCTTTAATTACTCAAGTTTGAGGTACTTTCTCTCAGCGGAAAGTACCTGGGGGTTGCGCGGTCCTCCACAAAGGACCGTGCGGCCCTCAAAAATTTTGCATATTCTCGCGGAAAGTCCGCGAGAATGCGGCCACTGCGCCGCAGCTAATCCATAAAGAAACCGCGATTGTTCTTCAAGCATTCATCGTTAATTTTGCCAACTTTCTTCCAAATTTCTGCAAGCGGGCCGCAAAAAATCAACGGACTATTTTTCCGGTGCGCGCTTGCTCAAAATTCGCATGGCCGCCTGCCCCCGGCGGTTATCTGAGAAGGGGTGACCTCTGGAAATCAACTCCTTCTTCCAAATAACTTTTAGATTGGAAACCATGACTCTAAATAAGTCCACCCATGTTTCAGCAGCAGTACATCTTCATCCACCATTGTATTCTACACGCCATTGAGACAATGTTGCACAATGGCCAGCAAGCTGCGCCGCCCTCGGATTTGCACCAAAACCCCGTGTTCGAAGACGACGACACCATAGCGGAGTCGGATTTCTAGCGCCTTTCCCATAGAAAGACAAGTTTTTGGAGAGTAGCGCTCTATGTCGACACAGGTCCAAGCCTTTCAGTTTTGATCAGCAACTGCATTCTTGCGTATTTGTATGTTACGCTCTCTTAAACGGGTTTCTCGGTTCAAAACATCAACTATTTCTTTATATTCTAGTTTATCTCTATTCAAGATTTCAATTTTCTTTCCGTTGATCACGACTTCTTCGCGAATTGACCTCATATTGAATGTTTTATGGATTGTTAACACAGTGCAAACGGGTTCCAATTAGACATTTTAGATTTGCTAAAGACTTTTATTGATCGATTCATTTTGCTATGTTTGTATATCAAGTGCCTTTTCAAGGAATAAAATCTCTCAAACACGTTGAAGTAATGAGGTGCAACACAAAGAAATATTCCAAATGTACCCTCGTGACTGAGTGTAGATATGTCTTTAGGTGGGGAACCGTGAATGAGCACGAATCGTAATTGCACCCCCACCTCCTTCAAAATACCTAGGGTGTAGTGGTAAAGAGGCAATCTTACCTAGGAATACAAACGTACACATCATTTTGAGCAGTTAGTATTAGCAACTGCGGCTATTTTAGACTTCGCTTTCTTTGCAGCGAAGTCGAGCACGCTGAGCTGTTTTTGGTAGAAATTAGCTGGCTTGCCCTCTCCGCTCGGCCCTGTCAAAACACTATGATAAAGCTTTCATCCCTATCTCTGTATAACTGTTTCCTGTGCCCACGTCTACACGCCAACTCACTATTCCCACTGTTTTAGTAATCAGCATCCTCGATTACCCCCTGTGCCAACTCCTAGCCACGTCGCTCAAACTTGCAAATAATCGATAAAATCGATAGAAGTAACGAATAGTTTTAGAAACTAATATTGTATTCGTAATCAGCATGCTCGATTACCCCCCCCCCCCCTGTGCCAACTCCCAGCCCATAGCTCAAACTTTGCAGAAAAATAGATAAAATCGATAAAATCGATATCGATCGATGACGAAAAGTAGCCTACGAACCCGCCCCGCCCCGAAGTGTATGTGTGCCAAGTTTGGTCCTGATCGGTTGAGAAATGGAATTATTCAGAAAATACGTACAGACACACATACACACACAAACACACACACATACGCAAACAGATATTCAGCTTTAAATATAAGGCTAGCGACCCTACGGGTCGCTAGCAAGCGGGTTGGGGCAGACTCGTAGATAAATGCTGTTTCAAACCTACAATTTTCTCAAGTGAATTTCCAAACTATTAGTACATGTATTGCCACAACCGCTCAAAAGTAGCAACGGAGATTTTCTCAAAACTTGGGCGGAAAGGGGATCATATCGCTCTAAAATATTGTTTTGCGCCCCTCACCGTTGTACAACTTTCTTTCGTAATGTCACTCTCGCACTCACGCTTACATTTTGGCGAGAAAAATCGAATCCACCCAGAGCAAAAACTCCCGAAAGCGAGATTTTCGGGGATTTTCTCAAATTTTGGGCGGAAAGTGGAAAATAGTTCCAAAAATAACTCAGCTGACATGAATGGGAAGAGGAAGACGAACGAGAGCATAATGAATACGAGAATACTATTAGGGTGAACGGTAAAAAATGGGACACCTACGAAATAACTGGAGGTTTCTCAAGAATGAGAAGCGATTAGACATTCAGTTTTGATAGATGTTAGAATATTTTATTCTCTTTCAGATAATACCTATATAAGGTCATTTACTTAATTGATAATTTTTATACTTGCTGAATGTAGAGTTAATCACCTCGACAAATTATGAACTTTGAGCAGTATCTGCGCAGTGAAACATGTTAGACCACCCAAAGTACCGCTGCTGGAGTGGATGGTGGGACAGTCACCAAACCCACGATGGCTTGGTGGCCTCAACTTCCAAAGTCAGGAGATATGGCCATTAGCAGCTTCGAAAACGAAGATACGTGTTATCCAATTCCTTCCAGGTGAACGCATGTTTTCTAGGTACCATCTGATAGAGCTTTTTACGCTCTGTCTATATATGTGCAGCTTGCCTCAGTTTTTGTCCATTTTCGGAAAATATAAGGCAAAACATAATTTTTTTGGTCCTTATTGCGCCAAAAATAGCTATTTTTCAGGTTTTTTCGCAATTTTTCCTGAAATTGAAAAGAAATCTTAGGCATATAACATATCGTTCAAAAGAGCATGAAAAGCTCTTTCGAATGGTATGTCATTTGCTTTACGACTTTACGGTATAGCAGTGCAAGATTGAGAATTGTTCAAAAAATCCCGTCGGAGTTCTTCACGACGCCACGCGTACGGTCATGAGAGAGGAGCGGTAACGCGTTGCCAGAATAATAGGCGAAGGTCGGTTATGTAAGCGACGTTTGAGTTGCAGTCTGCTTGTTATTGGTGAGGACAAAAAATCTTAAAATGTAATAAAAATCAAGCTGTCCCATTTTTTACCGTTCACCCTAATAATAATAATAAAAGAACACTATTAATAATATGATACAGGATTGGATGTGAGCGGATCTATAAATGGTATATGATTCTATCTATAACTAACATTGAGTCGCCATCTCACATATTTCAACACACGTGGCACGCATTTGCGTATTTCAACATAACTATTGTAGCAGCAGAGCGTAACCTGTGTGTCGTGGTCTCTCTCGTTCGCGCTAGGACCTCTGCGCCCTCCTGACCTCATGGTCGCACTGTCGCGTCTCTACACAATAAGGCCGCGTTCGGCAACTGGCGTCTATTCAAAACAAACGTTGAAGCATACATGTGGGCGGACCAACCTTGCCGTCTCGTTTTTTGGGATCGGGTTTATATTATAGGAGAAGATATCTGAATTTCATACGTTCTTGGATCATAAGACCTGGGCTGTTGTATATCTCAGAGTTTTCTCAGAGCGTGTGTTAGCCTGTCTGAAGCGAATATTAAGCAGAGAAGGATCATGCTAGATCTGTCATCGGATCTTGCATTGTCCTTCGAGTACTTCTAGACTTGGTCGGACTGTAGCCGTTTGAGGCTGCTGATGCGGACGCCAGCATTCGAGACTCTCGTCGCTCACTTTCGCCACTGCAGATGTTAGTTGTCATTCGGAACATATTACGCAAGATGGCACGCTTAACGGCAGTCGGGTGGACGGATTTGGCATGTAAAAGGATGTTTTCACAGCTTTCTTTGCGATACCATTTGATACGTACCACCGGCCAACATCAGTTGGGTATTGAGATAAGGCAACCAACATTCGTTTGGTCTTTCTCTGGTTATATATACTGCGATAGTTGATCTAATAGTTCAGAGTCTCGGACAGAGTTAATGTAATTTTACGACAATCATCTATGTATCTGCAATACAAGCGTGGTCTTCTACGTAACAACGGCCTTTCTATTCTGCTCATAAAGCATACAGCAAGCACGATTGCTATTCTTTTACACATTGACAGTCCCCTTACTTGTGAACGGAAGTCTCCAGACCACTCGAATACATTGCATATGAGATAATTTCTCACGAGAGTCATGAGTCGCGTCTTAATGAGTCCATAAGTCGACATACTTGCACTATGTTTATCTCAGAAGGAGCCTCTAGCGCTTCGCTGTTGGAGACATTGGTGTATGACGGCACATCGAATGACTCTATGACTCAATTCTGGTCAAAATTGACTTGTTGCAGTCGTCAAGAAAATGTCTAGTATTTATCAGATGGTGGGGACTCTCTCGAGAAGTAGGCTGGCAATTCTGTTGAGGAGCCATGACATTCTGTCAGCTGGGCCATTGATGCAATTGATGGTTGGCCGGATCTTGTATTCTGTGGCCGGCGCGGTAACCTGCATCCAAGAGGAAAGTTATCAAACTGTAAAAAGCGAGACAAGTTGGGTGTTCGAGCTTGAGCCTGTTGAAAAATCGTTCGTTGAGATTACCCAGACATGATTTAGACGTTTATACTTAGAGACAGTGGCGTACCCAGAAATTTTTTTCGGGGGGGGGACGAATTTTTTCCCTTGAAGGGCGTGGCCAATACCACACTCCGCAAATCCACCAAAAACTGTTTCGTTTTTGTTAAAGATGTAAAAAATATATATCTTCATTTGATCATCAAAATTACACAGACAAAATAAACATATCTCTCATAAATTACATGCAATAGGTTTGAAAAATGTAATAAAATTTATAACTGAACTAGCTGGCACACCTGGTCTTGCCCGGTTCTGAGCCACGGAGTTATAGGGAGGAGGGAAAGCGCATAAAATATGTGTTCTGCTTCAAAACCTACGCCTTTCCATCTTTCATCCCGCTTCCATCTGCTGCATTCCTGCCCCTGCCCCCCCCCCCTCTTCCTTCTCCGGTCCCGCAGCCTATGTGCCCCTGCAGGGTGCATTGTGATTGCAAATTCCTAATGTCAAGGCAGCATCATCCGCATCCTTCCCACCGCAAAATGAGAATGAGCTCCTCCGCTGTTGTTTACACCGAAATGTGCAAGCGGTATGATAGCGGTTGGTAAAGCTTCATTTTCATTGCTAGGTGCCAAAAATCATAAATCGATAGAAAACCCAGCAAATCGGCTCAAAAAGTAGCCTAAAACCATCTACAGGGTCGAAAACATATATGTGCAAAGTTTCAGCTCACTTGGTCCACGCGCAAGAGAGTCTATAAAAAAACATTGGGTGGGGGAACGAAAGCCGCCAGGTCCAGCCGCCTTTCGCGGCCAGCTGGTCCTTTCGCAGCGTTGGTGCATGTCGTTCCAGGACCAGCAGTCCGCGGAGGCGGCTGGACCTGGCGGCTTTCGTTCCCCCACCCAAAAACATTCGGTCCAGAGATGCACAAACTTTGACTTTTATAGATATACCAGTGCGTCACCTCCGCTTTGCGGAGGTTCGCACTGGCTCCCTATCCGTATGCCTTTCTCATGATCGCATAATGATGGCTTTGAAACTCACCAAGCGATGCTGAACATCACAAATGAATTGTAAACAGTTGTTCATTATTGAAGCATCTCCACGTAAGATCGATAATTTTGAGGGAAAAAAAACTTTATTGCAAGGAAACATATGCGAATTTGAACGGATTACTGAATTTATTTTAGTTTGATAATCGTCATAAGGATAATAGTCACCTTGGGCTACAAGTGCAAAAATCTTCTCAGTTTTTTCAAATAAAACCTTGCCAAATCGACTATCTACGCATCCATCACTTTTTGGCGCTGTTTTCGCAAAAAAGCAAACTTTTTGAGCATTTTTGGGCTAGAATTCATGGCGCGCAGAGTTACTTTTTAGGCAAATCATAAATTTGCAAAAAGTCGAATTAGCGACCCAGTTTTGCGTGCCAAAAGGCGCGTGGACCCGTTTGACGCGCAAATTTTGAAGGATCCGCTTATCGAACCGGCT